ACATATTATACCAAGATTACTCAGTGGGGAAATTTTCCTGAAATGATTTTGTTTGCATTTTGATGATTTGAAATTTTTTTTCAGCATTTGACGTTTTATGGTAACTCTAGGTTTACCTAAATATACTTTTCACTAAACTTTACATTTTAAAAATGAGGTGAAACAGAATTTGCCATGAAAAATTTCTCCTGCAGTATAGCCCCGTAGTTTATTATTGGAAGTCAAGGAATCTTCTACGAGTAAATTACTGTTTGCATCAATTAAATACCGTTGTTTAAGTGTGTTTTCAAAATCATCAGAAGTGCATCTTATAAGTACGTGCAAACTCTTATTGTTAGTTTAAAAGTAAATTAGACGGATATTCTTTTTCTTTCTTTCTTTCTTATTCATTCTCTTTTTCTTTTTTCTTTTTAATTAGCTGTACGTAAGTTAGAAATGCTGAATTAATGTGCTGTTGAAGCATTTACTTCGGCTTTGCAACCGAATTGTTCTCCAAGCAGAATTTTTTTGGGAAAATTTAATCGGCATTGTTTTTGATACATAGTCTCATTATAATTTACATAATTCAAAAAAAAAAATAAATAAAACCGTTTTTTATAATTTAAAAAAAAAAGACTTTTCAAGTCTAACTTCTTTTTTAAAATTTCAAACTGAACTTAGAAACATATGAAATAAGACGATTAAAATGAAAGCAATTAAATTTTATGCATTGTCAATGGACAATTGTTTTTCGCATCGAATAAATTTCACATTTAAAATAAATAAACGGCGATCTTCCCGTATTACTTTATTCAAGTTTAATTTGTCAACTTGGAGCTCAATAAAAAGCGAATGTTTTTAAAAATCAAGAAAAAAAAAAAGAATCCGAAAGAACTCATAAAAATAATAGTTTTCTTAAAGAAAAAAGCAATTGATACATGCAGAAATAGCAAAATAAAGGAATCCATTCTTCTTATTATAATTGATCAGCTATTTTGCTCATTTCCATTCGAATAAAAACAAATTGCCAAATAAATCCTGCCAAACCAATTTAGTGCCGTGGGAACCAATGTATTCGCAATTACTTTAAGCCTCATGACAACTGAAGTGCAAGCCGGAGCGAATATGGTAGTCCACTTAACATTGAAGCCGGCACCGAGTTCATGATTAAGAAACCATCCATTGACTTTCAGAACTTCAGATTTAATGAGCTATCTCCACCCAAAAGGGAACATTAAAGTGCTTTAAAATTCAAACAGAGCGTCAGGCTTCATAAGCAAAATAATCAATTATTCTCCTTAAATGACTTTCCTTGACCTCTTCGAAGGAGCAAACGGGCTCTTTCAGGACCTCATCATCTTGATGATGAGGTCATTTCGAATTACGTCCGGGTATCACTATTGTCTGTCACTGATTCTTTATGACATTTCAATTTATTTATTATTTTTGATTTCACTTTTATGATACATCTGTTCATCTTTTTTCTTTATGTAATTGATATTTTTTTGATAAAAAAGCTTCTTTTGCTGACATAGGCATTGTAGCTTTTAAAAAATAGCTTTAAAAATGATAAAAAAGTAATTCAATGAATCATTGAGGATGTTTTTTTTTTGTTGCTACAAGTGATTAAAAAATACAACTGTTGGCTTATTTAAATGGAATTCTGGTTAAAGCTGGTTTTTTAATTTCTTGCGTGGAACTTTTTTTTAAAAATATAATTGTTAAATTCGCCGACCAGGTGGCCGAGTGGTTAGCGTGCCTGACTGCGGAGCCGATGGTTGCGGGTTTGAATCCCGCTCAGGGCATGGATGTAACTTTCTCTCTCTTTCTGTCTGATTGTGTGAATGTAACCGCCCTATAAACGGGTTTATGGTTGTATGACGTGGGCGACGCTACTCCACCGCCTTGGCTTAGCCATAGGTGCCCACTGGGTAACGATAACAGAGTAAGCAATCCTGGCATTTCTGAGGCCAATGGGAAATAGATCCAAGTGCATGCCATTAACCAAAAAAAAAAAATTTTTTTTTTTAAATTCTTGAGCTACATCACATCTATGGGATATTGCCTACACTGTAAAAATAATCCTTTGCTATTTTCTTTAAAAATTATGAAGTAAGTTCGTACCATCAACGGTTTTTTTTCTTTTACCAAGCAAGAACAAGTTTTTTCTATAAGCATTATGAAGGAAATCAGACTTTTGACCATAGGGGAACAAGTTTTCAGTGTAAAAGTTGCGAAGTAAATGTGTATTTGCACTAGATGTTTCATGTCGGCAGAATTTGTATCGACTAATCATCGCTGGGATTCAAACCTGGTTCACATCACTGAGAGGGGCGCGCTCTGTCTCCTGAGCTGCCGCAATTCAAGTGTTTTATTATGGAAAATCTGTGATAGTGAGAATCGCGCTTCAATATTGTATCAATTTGACAAAAGTTAAATTGCAGTTTTATTTATAAGGTGCTCAAGACTATAAAGTAATTGTTAAAAAGTAAGAGCAAGTATAGAAAGTAATCGTAAAATGATTGGAAAAAAGGTAAAGTTATATTATAGAATTCGAAACTGCATGTCAAATACCATAATTTCGACGTACGGTTTTAATCCGTTTGCAATAAGGGTGAAAAACGGAGGAAAACCGTTTTGTTTACAAAACAGACTTAAGGAGTAAAATATACGGAGAAATTCTTAAAAAGCAACGGGTAATTTTTATAGTGTACGTTTTGGAATTTATATTAAGTGCTGTTAAAAAATGATACGAGGTAGTGCTGATTACATGAGAATAACTAGGCACTATAATTTAGATTACTAATTCTTCAAGGCGGGATCATTAATTTTCAAGACTATGTAATCCAATCAGACACCCAGCCTTTATCAATGTGAGGATTAAATGAAGAATTATTCGAAGAAAGAGAAAATTTTTTCTGCCAATTCACGGGAAGAAATTGTAAGAGTAAAGTTGTTGAGAAACGATCAATGTCAATCTTTAACATACGCGGAGAAAGTATTATGGTGAGATCAGCGTACTCTATGGTAATGACGTTCTTGGTTAAAAAACCTTAATTCCGGTTATAAAACCAAAATATACGGTATTTAAACCACATCTTTTGGTAATTTTTTCTTTCATATGGTAACTGTTAACCAGAAATTCTGGTTTTCGAAATTATTACATATTAGTAAAAAATACAAAACTGAAAAGTCAATTTAATGGAATAAATGGTTTTTATTATGGTTTTTTGTGTTCAAAGGTATCATGATGAAATTACCAAATATTTCCACACATATCAAATTTCATCATAAATTATAAGACCATATTTTATTTTTAACTGCATCAAAATTGTGACCAAAGAGCTTCGGTAAGAATTAACGATCTTTTTTTGTTTTTCCCATAGAGCCAGATACACGGTAAATTTTACCATATTCGGGTAATTTTTACTCTCTTAAACGGGTTGCAAAAATGAAGTAAAAAATGGCACAACAAGGATGGCAAACCAATATTTAAGCAAGGAACGTTATTAATATTTGAGGAATCACTTTTGAATAAATTTGGATTGAAAACATCAAAGCCTGACTGTTCTAGCTTGAAGGTGTTTCTATTAAAAAACGATTATTATCTCTCATTTTCGGAAATTGAACAGGTTTTGGTGTTACTGTAGGAGACATAAAAGAGTAATATTTTTAAGATTTTTAATACAAATGAGATATAAAGGAAAATATTATTATCAAATTATGTTGTTAGTCATGATTTAAGTTATGATAGTTATATTGCAGCTAAGTTATGGCAAATCGTAATCGCTAATATGCAGCAGAAATACATGTACTTGCAAAAAACCGCACAGAAACTCCTAAAACTCATGCATGATAATATACGAATCACATGAAAATATATAAAACAGCACATAAAAAGCATGAAGTATTGTCTAGAAACCTATGAAGCAATATTTAAAAAGGTAAGAAGCAACGTATGAAGCAAAATCTAAAAATGCATGAAATGGCACACGGAATCATGTGAAGCAACGTATGAAAACATATGAAGCAATATATAAAAGCAAAAGAAGCAACATATGAAAACACATGAAGCAATGCAGAAAAACGTATGAACATGAAATAACTAAGTACGAAAAAAATTTAACCCATTATTGTTGCTTGCATAAAAAAAGAAGCAAACATTTTAATTGTTTTATTTCTCGCATATTTTATGGCGCATTACAGTTGTTAAGATATTTAAAATATGATTGGAATATTTTTTTTGACTTTTCTTCATATAATAAATACTTCAATGTTTCCATGCAAAAAAGGTATTAATTAGAAATGCGCTTAAAATATTTTTTCTGTCATGGGTAAGAATTTAAAGCCAATGTGAAGTGAAAGAAGCTGAAATAAAATTCAGAGTCCATAGCTGCCAACATAGAGAGGAAAAAATCCAGTAGTTTTTACGAAATAATATAAATTTCACAATAATTGTTGCATAATGTATTAAATATTTTAGAAGTAGGAAATTCTAGGGATTTTTATAGTCATCAAAGTAGAAAAACTGCAATATTCTGCAGTTATGATAGGCATTAAACATACTTGAAATGTTATGTATTACGTTTACTCATAATTTTGAATATTAATAGGCATTTAATTCATCAAACATAGTTCAAATATTTTTTTCTAATTAATTTAAAAAATATACCGTGAGTGAAAATAAACTAAACATTTTAGAACAAAAAAAGGTTTTGTACTGATTTCTATAAATGAAGTTCACTTCATTATGTATTTGTAATACTTTTTAATTATTCAAGCAAGCAAGCAATAATCCGCACAGAAAATTAATTTCAAATGGGATTTTTTAAGGAAACTTACTCAATTTCAGGGAATTTTCTAAAATGTACAAAAAACCAGGAGAATTTTAAATAAACCAGTAGACCAGGAGAAACTGGCAAAATCCAGTACAGTTGGCAGCTATGAGTACTCCAAAATATTTATAAGACACCAAAAATATTTTATTCCCTTTAGGCATGTAAATCACAAAATCATCTTACCTTTAAGCTGATATTAATTTTCGAACAGCACATCCTTTGTATTCCTTGGGGCAGCACATCCATTTTAATGATGGCAATATTAAATTTCACTCTTAAGTTGAGGCCTTGTTTGAAACAAATAAGAGGAGGGACCAGGACATCTAAGATTATTCTATATGGGCGTGTGGTTACAAACTTTGTTCTTTTTGACTGACCGCAACGTGTGTGAGTGCGAGGGTGTGAAGAGAAGGAAATTGTGGAAGACCTCAAAACTATTTTTCCAACGAACTGATGCTGCGTTTGAATCATAGAGAAAACGCATTTCAGGTTGTCGACGTTGACGAAGGCCTTGATTTTGTAAAAACTGAATCATGCGGCTGGTTAATGACAAATAATAATAAAAATAAACTCCCGCTGACAAATATAGTTGCGCTATTGTTTTTTAAATGATTATGTATTCGCCACATTTAAATAAGCAGCTAAGATTAAAACCGGCTCAATCCATTTGTAGAAATTTTGGGGAGATGATTTTTTTTTAATCGAAACATTCGAATTTGAGAAAAAGTTTTTTTTTAGTCTTGTGTAAATTAAAAGCGTATTTTGAATTAGATTTGTTTAAGAATCGATTTTGATTCGTAACATTTCATCAAAAAAAAAAAACTACTTTAGTAAACTTTTTTAATTAAATTATAACAATTTTTTATAATAATTTGTTAAAGTTTAATTTTAAAAGATAATATTTCAATAAGACTTTTAAAGAAAGCAGGTTGAGTTGGGTTCGAAATTAGATGACTGAATTTTGATTAAGGTAAGAGTAAAATAAACGATAATATTACAGATAATTTATAAGTACAGAAAACTTATAAGAATGAAGTTAACTTTTGAGTTTATGACAGATCTAATCAACTAGATGGTAAAAGAGAACTAAACTTTATTTTATTTTATAACAGCCATAATTTAAGGTTTACGACTATCAATGCTCAACTCCGTAGTCTTGCAATTTTGAACCCAATCCAGAAGACAAGGGAATGCCTAAGTCAGCTATGTGGAGAATCTGCTTTCGTGGAGGATTTTTTGCTGGAACTAACCCACATTTGCGGTACATGGAGAGGCAGACCCCGAAAACCTCCCACCGTTAGATGGCAAGGGACTCTAACCCATGATTCGTCACTGTGGTCGGTGCTAGCCAACCAGCCATCGCTGGTTTTTTTTCCTTTACAAGGTGATTTTTTTTAAAAAGATTATTTGTTTCAAAAATACATAATTGTTATAATTTTATGTAAGAAAGGAATGATTACCTGGTTTCGAAAAATAAACAATTGTGGAAAAAATTAACCTAAACAAGTTGTGCGACAATGAGAAGCAAATAAGAAGTAATTTTACTTATTAACAAGGCTTATATCATTGTAAGAGTCAAATTAGAAACGGCTTTATCATTCTCATTTCTTAAAATTTAAAAAAAACTTAATATAAATGTTTAGATTTAAATCTAACATCATCTTATTTCTCACTTTCTTATTCTTTAAATTATAATAATAATTTTTTTTGTTACTTTTTGCATCAAGTCATGCGCGAACTTAAAACTTGAAGATCTCGAGAGAGAAGGAAGGGTTTCTATAAGAATGGCAAATAAGCATTATTTAAAGCAAAAATTGTGAGCAAAAAAGTAGTGAAAGGGAATTTGAAATTGCATTACCCTTTAAAAAATTGGTATTACCGAACAAAAAAAGATCGTGTTTGGGTCATAAATGAAAATAGTTCATTCAACGTAACAATTTTCAGATCTGGCGTTGCATTTCTTCGTCCTGCATTTTTTTTATTATAATTATAGCAGTTGATAATTCTCGAAGTAATAACCGAATCTTATTTTTTTTTATTTCATAGTACTCTTTGTACATTCTTCTACATATTTCTTATTTCAAGATTCTAAGTTTTAGCCGGCATGGTGTCCGCGTGGTTAGCTTGCCTGTCTGCGAAGCTAATGGATGCGGGTTCGGATCACGCTAAGGGCATGGGTGTTTCTGTTACGTGATGTGTGAATGTGGCCCATGCTATGAACGGGCGTACGTGGCAGTGTGGCGTGGGTAATGTTGCTCGCTTCCATGACATGGGGTCACAGCTGCCCACTGGATAACGTCATAAATGAGTAACACTTCAGGCATCTTCTGAGGCAAAAGAACGAGTTAAATTGCCTGGCAAGTCTTGAAAATGAGTGCCTATTTTTGAGCACTTGAAACTTATCGACTGTTACTTCCAATCTGTATATTTTTGAAGCGAATGAAGTTTTTTAATCAAGTAAGTAATGCATAGTAAGGAATAATTTTGAGGATAAGTTTAATTTTATTAGTGCCAAAAAATGTTTTTATTGTGTTAAAGTGAAATTTTAATTTCTCAATTTCAGGGTCTTTATTAGTTGTAATTATGAAAAACTACACGCTTTAGATTTAATTTCATTGTAAAAATTAGGTATTCTTAAACAAATTATAATTTTTTCATTGAACAAAAACTCCAATTCACCCTTTACTAAAATATTTTTCTTTTATATATTATACGATCTGGACATTTATTTAGAATTGAAATAGTAATGGATAATTTTTACTTCGAACGCTTGATTAGATTCTTCTAATAGCTTCAGGGCTGTGTAAGCGTGCTGGAAGACAGAAATTCTCGTAAAAAAATACATATATTTTAAAGGAAGTGGAATTTATGTTTAACTATGAGTTTCTTCGAATAGTGAGCAGGTTTTTTTCCTTCAAAAATTTTAAGTTATGAAATAAAACTCATCCGTTATTTGAAGAGGAAATTGAAAAATTCTGGTTGAGCTAAGAGTGAAAGAACTTGAATTTGTCCGCGAGCTATGGCTTCCTTCATAAAATGTTCAGTATTACTTCAATCAACTGTTTTAATTAACGAAAGTGGAGTAAATGTTTTTTTTCCCCTTTAAATAATCTTTTTCTGTGAGAATACATTATCAAAACCCATGAATACAATATTCAGCGAGCTAAAACATTTGGCTATTAAATAAAAGCAACGTTAAACTATAAAAACATCTCAATTGCATCTCAAGTGGGATATAAGATAGCCATTTTTATTATTAAAGCATTGCGAGATGAAAAGCAATTTAATAAAAACTTTAGAAGTTTTCCAAATTAAGTTTTTGCAGGTAAGGAAATAAGGGTACTCATCAGATGGAAAAGGGTTTCAATTGCTTCCATCTTAAACTCTTGATAGAATGTGAACTTAATTTTCTTATCTATCCAACAATTCATATTTCTGAATGCGTTTTGTTTCTTTTTCTATATTGAAATGTCATCGATTTTATTTTATTTTATAACCGTCGTTGAACAGCCGACCCAATTTTTGGGTTTACGACTACTAATCTTCAACTACGTAGCCTTGTAATTTTGAACCCAATCCAGAAGACAAGGGATAAAGTATTGGGCGAAATTTGCCTTCGTGGAGGACTTTTTGATAGAACTAACCCGCATTTGCGTTACATGGTGAGGAAAACTACGAAGACCTCCCACGGTTAGTCTGACGGCAAGGAGACTCTAACCTATGATCCGTCTACCACTGAGAATATTTCATGTCAACACTGTGATCGGTGCAAGCCGGATGCGGAATTCGTATCGATCAGCCATCGCCAGGATCGAACCCCGGTTCACCTCATTGGAAGGCGAACGCTCTATCCCCTGAGCCATCGTGGCTCAAATGCCATCGATTGAACCTAGTGGCAAATGTTGAATTTAAGGTTTCAAATTTCAAAGTCTTTCAATGCTCAAGTGTTTTGTAACTTGGCCGGCTAGATGGCCGAGCTATCGGCGCGCCTGACTGTGAAGCCAGGGGCTGCAGGTTCGATTTCGCTCTGGGCATGAATGTGTGAATGAGGCCCACCTTATGAACGGGTAGCTGTGGCAGTGTGGCGTGCGTAATGTTGCTCGCTTCCATGGCTTAGGTTCACAGGTGCCCACAGAATAATGTTAAACGAGCAACACTTCTGGCATCTTCCAAGGCGAAGAACGAAAATTCAGTGCCTGACGTTAAATTTTTTTTTGTAACATGGCTCAATTTCAATACATTTCATTGAATAAAGCGAAAAAAATCCAAAATATTAATTAGTTCCTTAATAAGTAAAAAACTAATAGTAATAAAATTCTTATTTATTAAGAAAATAGCGTTCGTATGATTCTTTGTAGGTTGACATGGAGGAAATAGAATTCCTTTTCTGTCTGATAGAGGCCCATAAGTTCGAATTTTATTCGAAAGAATATTGATTTTATATTATAAAATGGATATTAATTAGGGATCTTCAACCTGTCGCTCCAGAGAAGCACATCAATAAGTTTGGGAAATATAACTGGTCACACATCTGAAGGAATGTAACATATCTGGACATGTAACATAACATTCATATCTGGAGGAATGTAACAGAATAGTGTTGATCTCCGAAATTTATGATTTGTAATATGTTGGTATTTTATTACAAATTGAAAAATCAGTTGTTTCTGTTTGAAACATAAAAAACATGATTATATGGAGATACCAAACATATCTTCTGTATAACAGAGAAAAAAAAAGTTCGCTGTACTTTATAAGAGGAATGCATATCATTTCGGCTTGTGCGAAATATATCGTGTAAAATATTTGTATCGTGTGAAGTATTTGTAGTTGAAATTCTCCAAGTGTTCTTCGAAAGAAGATCAGTCAAGCATGTTCTTGTTTTCGATTTTGTGTTCTTTGGCTGTTCGGTTTCAGGTGTTCTGCTTAGTGTTTCATCATTTCGGAGTTTATAAAACTATAAACAAATAATTCGTCAACATTTATATAATCACCAGCCATGAATTTTGCGCCAGTTGTTAATATCTGAAATAACTTTATTTTTTTTCATGACTGTCGTTGAAAGGCCGATCCAATTTTTGAGTTCATGACTAGCAATGTTCAACTCCGTAGCCTTATAATTTGTACCCAATCCAAAAGACAAGGGAACTCAAATATTGGTAGTAATTTGACTTAGTGGAGTCCTTTGTTGGAGTGGTTTCTTACTCCTCTGAATACATTAAATTAACAGAATTAAGTTTCGGTCGTGTGTTGGCAACGGATATTTTATTTTCAGATAACGTAAGTGACGTCATCCGTGCATATCGTTATGAAATCTGTATATAAGGCACGCATTGTTGTAAGCATGAGTCTTGTCTTGTCTCTTCACTATGTCACTTCACTGTGTTGTTGTTTCCAGTGATGATGTACCATATTTTGTTAAGCTGTATTAAAAGTTAATATTTTCAGTTGTATGCTGTATCGAGATGGCACTGTATGAAATAAAGAAATGTTTAAATCTTCAAGTTTCTTTATATGAGTCAACAC